CCCGGTATTCCCAGCACAGACCGAGGGATTTTGCATTGAGTTTTATGCATTACTGAATTGCCCAGAAGGAAGAACCCTTCAGTAACTGCTGTCTCATGAGGCCCTGCTGCACTTGGACCCATTTGGATGTTACTTAAGTTGTGTGGGAAAAGAGCCGGAAAGCCCCGTGGGCTGGATGGAGAGTGGATGTCCATGACAGGATAACCTTCATGGCAGTGGTTTTACATCGTGAAGCACCCTTGCTTGCATTTGAGCTCATTGCAGCAGAGCCAGCCCTAGCGATGGGTGGCTGCATAGTCTGAAATTGCTTTGTCTTTTTTGAATGTGTACTTTTATTCTCTGTAAGAACTTTGCATGTGGAGCTACAAACTGTTTCCTTTTAATGCCTTCCATGGCTTCCTCTTTAATATCCCAAGGTCAAATGGGGTAGAAGAGAGTATCCCAGACAGGAGAGCAGGATCTCACTGGGAAGTCAGGTAACACCAACAAAGCCACTGGGATGACCTGAACAAGAAGCAAAGGGAAAGAGGAAAAGCATGAGTTATTTGCACTGGTCATTCTTTGGTTGAGAGTTATTTTATTAATTTATTACCATCTCAGCATGTGAAAAGCTGCTGGTGACCAGAGTTGACAGATATAAATATCACTAAGAGAAACCAGAAGAAAATTAATGAGGGGAAAATGAACCCGAGTGGTGACAGTGAGTTCTCTGTCAGTTGTTTGCAAATCTTTTTTGTGCTGCGACTTGGTCTCTCCTTCTGGTTCCGTCTAGGTGAAACGTGTCAAGACCTTTGCCATCTTTAACAACATGTGAAAGACGGGCTCTTGGCAGTGCATCTGCAATTATTTCCAGCTCCAAGCTTGCAGACCCCTTCTTTTCATGAAAAACTCTCTTAGTACTTAACATGTGGTGGCAGGAGGGTTGTCAGTGAAGAATGAGCGTAAAGGCCCTTGCTGCCCCTCTGCTGCTGACTCCTACTGTGTGTCCTGCATTTGCTTTGCTAGTGTGAGTGGGGACTCTTGCAGTAAAGCAGCTACTGAGTATCCAGAAGAAATTCAAGCCACTGCTGAGCAATTTGTAGTGAAAATCTGAGTAATAGACTTGGTCTTTGGGAATGAAGTTATATTCATTTGTATTCAGGTGTATCCAAAGAGACGTGTTAGGACGCCTGGTTAGGATGTTGATCTTTCTAGGCAGCCTCAGTAATCAAAAGAAAGAAGGTTCCCAGGTTTTGGCTGTGTGAAGGCCCATGGCTGATCTTGCTTTCTGGTGCTGGCACTGGCTTGGCTTGGCTTGGGTGATGGGAATGCCCTTCAGAGCTCTAATTCTGTCTTCTTTGTTCAATCAAATACTTAAGGACACTTGAATATGAAGTAAATGTAAAATGCAATATGTTACATGAAGCCAAAAGTATTGTCACAGGGGAACCTCAGCAGGACCTAAAAGGCATGGGCAGGCTCCAAGATAAACATCAGGGCCAGCCCAGGAATATTAAGAGAGTCAAACAGAAAACAGAGTGGAAACCAAATTTGGAAAGAAATAATGGTAAAACAGCGCAGTGCTTTATCATCTGTCAGTCATTAAAATCCAGCCCTTTCCTTTCTTCCCTCTGCTGGCAACTGAACCACAGCCGAGGCTTAAGGGGCGCAGGAAGCCAGGCCTGGGCGGGCGGCACCTGGATAGCACCCGCTCCAGCCGGCCTCCCAGGCMAGGGGCTCCCCTCGGGGTACCACCTCTGGCTTAAACTGCTCACTCTTCACATCCCTAGGTCGGTAGAAAATTTACACAAGTCCATCCCAGTTAGTAGTGGCTAAGTGCTTACCCTGACTTCCATTGCTTTGGGGTGAAGCTTGTCCATGTGTTTTAACACAAAGTCGTGGCTGAATTGGGCTCATCTCCTGCTCGAGCCCAAGGGACCCGTTCTTTTTTGCTCAGGATTGAAGTGGATCAGGACCGTGGAACAGATGCACGTTTGAGCAGTGCTGATTAGCTTACAAAAGGCATCTGAAGTATGTAAAGCTTGAACTGTGTGAGAGGGACTGGTGATCTCAGTGTCGAGCCTAAGGAACGCAGAGCCGTGCTTTAAAGCCAGCCCTCCCGACCTGCCAGCTGGAGGGCAGGGGGAAGCTGTTTCATGATTGCATGAGCTCTGCTTGCTGTTGTGGCCTCCATGGCAGGCCACGTGTCTGCTTTGGGCTGCTTTGCTGTTGTTTCTGTAAACCCCCAGCTGGAGGACACCTCTGGGAGCCCRTTGAGCCTTCACAACATCCTGGTTGGTGCAGGTGGCCCTAGGCGAAGAGCTGGCTGCTGCCCCCGAAACGCTGGGATCTGGGGGACGAGGCAACTGAAGGCATTCGCCRTGTAGGAATGTTCATCCTGAGCCATCTCATGGGAAAGAGCAAGAGGGCAGGAAGGGAGCTGCAGGGAGGGCCTAGCTCYGTTTAGAGATACAGAGGCAAGAGGGGATTTGGACCGAACATGGAGATCAAGGAAGGATGATTGGAAGCGGAGGGAGGGCAACGTGGGGCTCCTGCTGTTTTCTGGCTGGCATGTGCCAGTGACTTCACCACGACAAAGTGCTGCAGAGATACAACCAAGTCTGCCACCGGTGGGAGCAGCTATTTTGGACTCTTCCAAGCTGTCAGAAGCAGTAGGTGAACGTAACAGCCCAGTGCTTCCTGGGACAACCAACTGCTTTATCATCCACGCCGGCTTAGCAGCTCTCAGCACCAAGACCAAGTGACTGAGTAATCTCTTGTCCCAGGGTTATTTCTGTCGTATTCAGATACTCCTGTTCCTTTCATATGAGTTTTCCTTCTGCCCCATCAGTTGGGCTAATTCCAAAACAATTCAAAAGAGCAATGCTCCATTTGAGCTACTAATCTTATGTTTTGCCTCAGTGAATGCAACTCTCAGCATTCAGCCCCTGGAGGAAGACTCTTTGCAATCTGGACGGCTCTCATTAGTCTAATCTTCACATTTTGAGATTATCTCCCAAATCCTGCACCTCAGGGCGTTTCCAACAAGGTGAACTGGTGTCCCAACTCATTCCTGGTCCTTACGCGTGCAGCTATTTCAGTTAAATCTGCTTCAGCTCAAAGGTGAGTCCTAGTGCGAGGTGCTTGTTGATATGTTAATCACATTCCTCCTGGTTTGGGCCTCCCTGGCTAACCCTATTTTTAAATTGCAACGCCTGATCGCCTTCAAGAGCAGTTGCTGCTAGCTATAGCCCCGAAGTTAAACTCCAAAATAAGTTGTTCATTATTGGATAATATGTTCACTGATTGTTGATGCAATGATGGAGAACAGACATCCAGGTGGACTCTGTGTTGTTTAGTTCAGGTTTCAGCTGTTACTCCTTTTTTTTGTTTCTTCAAAACCCAACAGAGTAGCAGCATTTTAGCCAGAGCCAGTTCCATGTGGGAAACACGGATGTGTTTGCGTGTCTCAGGTCAACATCTCTCTGCATCCCTGTGGTAGTAACCGTCACCCAAGAGCTCRCAGCCTGCTGCTGCTCTGGTTAATGAGGAGTTGAATTCGCTGTTTAAAGGTTGTGCTTTTGCAGTCTTGTTCAGCATACTTCAGCGGCTGGAAACATCTTGAGAACATCATCCAGGGAAGTGCAGCCTGGACTTCTTCCCATGGATTTCTCAGTTGATTTGAAATGACTTAGGAAGGAGGTTTCCATCTTGGCAGCTCCTCTTCCCTGCCCCCTCTCCCCCTGCCTTCACGCTCATAAATTACTTATTTAATTCATGGTTTCTAGCTTCCAGAGACGAAAAACAGTGCAGCGYGAGTGCATCTTGCTGAGAGATGTTGGGGTTCCCTGGCAGGCGGTCCCGGTGCTCCGGCCCCTAATCCCGTCAGCGCTCCCTGCGTGGCGCCCGCGGCCGGAGCGGCTCCCAGCACCGTTCCCGCTCCGAGGCCGCACAATGCGGAGCCCTTCAAAGGGCCGCGCTGCCATTTGCATTTCCAAGCACCCGCTCCCTGCCAAGCCTTCAGGAGGGATGACAGTGTCCTTTGTTAAACTTAATGGCAGGGTTGATTAAAAAAGCTCTGATTTTTCGCTATTAACAGCGTAGTTCGATTCCGCTCTTAGGCTTTCAGCGCCTAGGGGAGGATGAATTTTGCAAGATTGCCTGGTCCAAAAAAGCAGTTGAAGAAAGCAACACCTTGCCTACCCAGATATCAGCATACTCAGAGAGGGTTCCAGTAGTGTTTTAGGGGCCCATAATTGGTAAATCATTAAATATTAAACAATTAGTAAATTATTAAATATTAAATAATTAGTAAAACTTAAGACTTGAGCCAGTGTTTCTTTGCGAGGCCCCCACCCAGGTGTGCAGCTCTTCCCAGTATCCTCTCCCCAGGTGGATTCTCCAAGCAGGGAAGCAGGCGGGTGACTTGTGCCATCGGGGGCACGTGTCAGCGATCAGGAGCACAAACCCATCCTCCAACACGCGGAAAATGAACCGCGTTATGTGCCAGCAGTTAGTGCTGATTATCTGTTCAAAATAAGCAGTGCCGGCTCTGGTGTTCAGAGGTTTGGTAATTTCCTTTCTTTGCTTTGTTTGAAGAATATTGGCAAATATTTTAACATCTGGATTTATGTATTAAATGTCTCCTATAGTGTATAAAACAAAGCACCTAATGAAAGAAATGTGTCCATTTAACTCCTGTTTTAGCTTTGGTTCTGCCTTAGGAATAGCTGTTACCACACTCGCAAAGTACTGAAGAAACATTTCCTATTTTAAGGGTATCAGCRGTGGGAGGGGTGTGATTTTTAATACACACTTTTAATTCTGTCTCTGCCCGTGTGACTCTTGCGGCTCTGTTTATTGCTATTAAAGTTCAAGTTTGGTTGGGAAGCAGGAAGAGAAGTGCCTTAGCTGCTTTAAATAAATATAAATGCCATTTTCCATGTGGTTTATGCTTGCTCTTCCCGCGGGGACGCTGCTTGTTGAGTGTTTCACCCTCCGGTGCGTGTGGTTGCTTGCAGGGACGAGTATGAAGAGGACGGGTTTTGCCAGCCCTACAGAGGCATCGCCTGCGCAAGGTTCATCGGCAATCGAACCATATACATGGAGTCGCTGCACATGCAAGGGGAAATTGAAAATCAGATCACAGGTGGGTGAGAAACGGCCTTTCCTTCTTGCCCTTCTTGCCTTCTTGTTGCAGAGAGCGGCCAGCGTTGGGAACACGGGGCTGCTCCATGCGCTGTCGGCCAACGAAGCAGTCAGATCCAAGCAGGCCTCGTGTCCCTGCTCGCTCCCTTCCCAATGAGGAGCTAAGGGGGGTTCCAAGGAGAAGGGACAACTCAGATGAGCGGCTCTGCAAGGCTGCCCTGTGCTCTTCATCAAGCAGGAATTAGATGTGAAAAAGGCCAACCTTGGTCGATTAGTCTGTGGTCAAGGTGGTGCTGAAGAGCCCTAGGTGCTGGAAGAAGCTGTGGAAGTAAATCAGCAGGTGGCAATTGCCTTCAGGGTTGGAAAGGAGCCCACAGAAACGAGCATCAGCATAGGGATGCTTTATCAGTCTTTCCATATACGCTGACCTTCTCTTCCTCCTTCCTACACTTCAGAGATGTTGTCAGGACTGCTACAAAACCTTTGGAATTGCCCTCAGGCGAGACCCGTGATGTTTGTACAACAGTAGTTCACAAGTCTACACCATTTATTTGGAGAAGTAGTAGGGTATTTCCCCAAGATTTTGTCCTTCTAGAGCCTGTGGAGACCTTTACTCTTATCTGTAGGACTTAGGGCATACAAGTGCTGTGAGATTTTGTAAACCACTAGAAATTATTTTGGAAAAGAAGTGTGCAGTTAGGTTTCAGGGTTTGGTAACATGCTTAACATTAATCCAGTGCGAAAAGAACGAGTGAATGCTGTTCTGTCCATGGAATCAGCATTGTTATTTTAATGCAACAGGGCTCTCTGTTTCCAAAAGGCAAGTTCAATACCCAAAGGGAAGTAAGGGTTGTGCCATGAAGGTGAGAACACAGGAATAAAATTCCCCCCAGGTTTCATAACCCCCTTTTGTGCCTTTTCCAGCTGCCTTCACCATGATTGGCACCTCCAGCCATTTGTCGGATAAGTGCTCCCAGTTTGCCATTCCCTCGCTGTGCCATTACGCCTTCCCCTACTGCGACGAGACGTCGGCCGCCCCCAAGCCGCGCGACCTGTGCCGCGACGAGTGTGAGATCCTGGAGAACGTCCTGTGCCAGACCGAGTATATTTTCGCAAGATCGAATCCCATGATTCTGATGAGATTAAAGCTGCCCAACTGCGAGGATCTTCCCCAGCCAGACAGCCCGGAGGCTGTAAATTGTATCCGGATTGGAATTCCCATGGCGGATCCTATAAATAAAAGTAAGTGAAAACATTTTGTGCCATGAGTCCTGGGAGAATAGGAATTCAGAAACACTTATCGAATGGTGAACCTGGCCTCAGCCCTTCTGAAATCAATACTGCAGAGGAAACCCTGATTTCTCCTTAAACTTACCAGTCTTGGGAAATGTGGTGGCTTCAGTGCAGCCTCCAGGTGCTCTTCAGCCTGATACCCTTGCCAGGACAGCAGGTGCAGTTTGGGAATTCCGACCAGCAAAGTCCATGGGATCTGGGTCTGTCCTGGCCCTGCACAGTAGGGCTGATTATGGCATCGCCCCAGCTTCTCTGTGCCTGGGCAGCCCAGTCCCTCGTGCACCGGAGCATGCGGAGAGCCAACGCGTCCCCTGCAAACCCTCCTGCTCCTGCACGCCACGCCGCTTCCCCCTGCCGCTTTGACTCCTTTTGTGCATCTTTTATTAAAAATGCTCAGCATAAGCTGTTTTCATTACAGCCCATAAGCTTTAAATCCCGCCAGGAATGCAAGCGCAAAGCAGGCGCTGYGCTCCGGCCGCGGCAGACGGGCCGCCCGCGCTCCCGTGCTGGCTCCGTGACAGCCGCGGCGGCTGGCGAGGCCGGGAACGCTCCATCCTGCCACCGTCCCCCGTTGCCTTCACTCCGTTTCTGCAAGATCGCTTGCCAAAACCTTTCCATTTCTGCAGATCACAAGTGCTACAACAGCACCGGCGTGGACTACCGGGGCACGGTGAGCGTGACGCGCTCGGGGCGGCAGTGCCAGCCGTGGGTGTCGCAGTACCCCCACGCGCACACCTTCACGGCCGTGCGCTACCCCGAGCTCAACGGGGGCCACTCGTACTGCCGCAACCCCGGCGGGCAGAAGGAGGCCCCTTGGTGCTTCACCCTGGACGAGAACTTCAAGTCCGAGCTCTGCGACGTCCCGGCGTGCGGTAACTACCGGCCTCGAACGGCCCCTTTTCAGGGGAAAATGGGGCGCTGCTTTCGCACGGGAAGAAAAAGGGGGAATGAAACAGGGGATCCCCAATCTGCCMTCTTGACACTGGTCCACCAAGCAGTTACAAAACATCCTCCGTCTTACTTTATGTGAAAACTTTAGCCATTTCAATACATGCAAACCTCACTTAATGTAGCTTAGGCCTTATTTTAAAAAATCTCCAAGTCCTGCCAAATCTCTCCAGCTATATTTTAGCATTGGGTTTACAGAACCACCCTCGCCGGATTTTGGTTTCGCAAACTGAGCAGTAATTGGGATTCAGCTCCTGTTTTCACTCTCTGCTTCTGAGATGTGGGGGAAGTGGTGGAAGACCTGAATAAATGGTTCCTAATTGCCTGACTTGCTTTAAAAAATAACAATATTGCTAGCATGCCAAGGAAACGTACAGCTATTTCCATGGACATGTCAGAAATTCCCCTAGAAATGTTCTGGAAATTCTCAGGAGAAACTTCCATATGAAACTTCAAGTTGTCCCAGTAACCTTTCCCAGGAAGAAGATGCATTTTGATGTTACTGCCAGAACCAAATTAAATTATTTCTGGTTATGGCTGTGAACTTACTTTAGTCAGACGTGGTCTGAGCCCGCTCCAAAGTCTTGGTCAATTAATGGAAAGATTCCCATGGGTGCCAAAAGGGATCTACATTATGTTCTTACTGAAAGAGGAGGAAGCACAGATAATCTGGGCTATATAGTATGGCTCTCAAACCCACACTAAAATTCATATATGCCTGTTAGAAGTCTGTAGCTCTTTTCCTATTTTCCCAGTGTGTATAGCATTATTTTTCTTGAGATAGTGATAGACTGCCAAAGAAAAGGAGTAAGATTATGCTTGTATAAATACATAAATATATCATGTATGTATGGAGGGAGGTCTTTTGCAAGCCTTATACCAAAATCTGGATATAAGCAGCTGCCTATAGGACTGTGCAGTGGCTTTAGGCCCCTTGGCTGATCCCATGCACCTTCTGCATTTCCCCTCTTTTTCCTTCCCACCTGGGATAACTGGGAATTGGGGTGGGGGAGCTCCTGGAAGGGGGCTGAGCTCCTAGCACCAGTTCTGTCTTTTGATCAGAAGTAGCTGAAAGGTGGGCGCTTTGGGGCACGTTGCAAAAGGCTGCGATTTGGACAATTTGCTAGAAAATAAATGAGGTTGGCTGGCTTGAAGAATTCCTGACAAGGATTTTAATTACCTCTCTGCACTGCATTAAACTGTACCCACTGTGCCGTTATATGGCACTGTTATTGTAAATGCAGCCAAACGGAGCTATATCAGGTGAGCAGGAATTTAATTGTTAAATGCTAATCTGCATATTAAAACCAAGCCACCACGTGGGACTCGCTTTCTGCTGCTTGTGCACTAGCTGAAAGAGCCATTTGAGGCTCTCGGTAACAAGCGTTGTACATCCCGCCTCGCTGGGAAATGGTTTTAATTGGGATAGCTCCCAAGAAACCTATTAACCTAATGAGCCATATTGGCAGGGGCTGCTAATTAATACTGGTAATAACCCCATTTGCTCAGAATAGCTCAGGTGATGAAGTAGCACCCAGGTCTCTCTCTGCCTCCCCTTGATGCCCTCTTCCTTCATCAGGGTCTTGCAGTTGTCTCAGGAGCTGCAGTAGGTTCAACACCTGCATACAGAGCTGTTGTCCTGGATGTGGGAAGAGGTAAAACAGGGAGCAGCTTGAGGCCTCCCCTCTGCTCAGTTAAAACACGGCTGGCGCAGCTTGATCCAAAGCAAAGGGTCCAAAAAGAGCACGTGGGYGAGCCCAGGGACAGCGCGAGCCCGTAAGAGGAGAGGCTTCATGCAAAGGGACATCCAGAAATGTCTGAACTTTGCCTCTGTCACAACCTGAAACAAGCCCAAGCTTCAGATCAAGTTCRTGTTTAATTAAGAGCATGAGCCATGTCTGTGTGGGCCATTAAGCACTCTACGAATCCAGCTTGGAAAACACAGACAAACCAACCCAAATGACCCTGTAGGAACAATAAAAGAATCTCTGTTCACCAGAATCAACTAAGCCTGATCCTGCCACAGACATTGACCATCTTCTTGCAGACAGCTGGGCTAGAGCTCAGACCTGCAGGTCAAGGAGATCTTCCATGTTCCCGTAGCTCGTGTTTGCATCCATGCCTGCTCTAATCTCAGGAATGTTCACACAAGATATCCACTGYTCTCCGCTTCCTGAGACCTCTTCCAAGACTTTTTTTTTTTCCACCCGTGCTCTARCTTCCCGTTCAGCTCCCAGGACTATGTCCCATTTGCCAAGGACAATCGTGCCAGGATGCCAGTTGTTAGTAAAGGCTGGCAGAGGGGAGGCATCTTCCATTAGCCCGGTAAACCCCTTAAGACCAGGCCCTCCGGGTGTGAGTGCTTTTCTTTTAAAGATTGTGCTAAACTTTGCTCTGAATTTGGTCTGTTTAAACCCTTTTTTCCTGGCTTTCCATGATAAGTAGCACTGCTAGTCCCTCTCTGAGTTTTATCAGCATCATTTTTGAYCCTGCTGCCAGAACTGTCATCTCTGTTTCGTGCCGTTTCCCTGGATTTCCTCACATTTCTCATGTGTTCTCCCACCTCTCCCGCTCTGGAGTCCTTAATCCTTCGGCTCCTGCCCCTCCCAGTTAACTCTGCCCTCAGCCTTTCTGCTGCCCCTGGGCTCCTGCTGGCAATAAACCCCAAMGTGCTTTGTATATAGAAATTGCAAGTTCTTTAAGGCAATTCTTTAAGGACTACTGTATGCATTGGTTTTTTGTTTTCATTCTGCTCATTTTCCTTTCCCTCCTTTTCTTCCGGAATCAGATTCTAAGGACTCCAAGGAAAAGAACAAAATGGAAATCCTGTATATCCTGGTGCCAAGCGTAACTATCCCGCTGGCCATAGCCYTGCTCTTCTTCTTCATCTGCATCTGCCGCAATAACCAGAAGGCGTCCTCGCCGCCCGTGCAGCGGCAGCCCAAGCACGTGCGGGGACAAAACGTGGAGATGTCCATGCTCAACGCCTACAAGCCCAAGGTGAGCGCGCCGCTCCGCGCTGCCTCCCTGCACCGGGGGTCCCTGGAGAACGCGGCCAGCGTGGGGCCCGTGTCCTGCACTACATGTTCCCGTAGCCCGGGAAAGCGGAGCTGGGGGATCTGGGGAGAAAGGCACCTACTGTTGGGCTGCACAGTTGCTTTTCTTCCTTGGAGGCTTGGCGGCAGTTGGATGTGTGGGAAAAGATGCGAGGCTGCGTTTTCTCAGAGAGCTTCTGCATGCTCTGCTGGGGTCTCATGTTGTGTTTCCTCAGCCTGGATCGCTCTGGAGAGGTTAGTGCTGGGTTTGCTCAGCGTTGCCCGCACTGGCGCCRCACGGACACTGCCAGGACGAGCCCAAGCGCCCGGGCACCCACGGCCACGCGCTGCTGTGGCCCTTCCGAGGCTGGTAGCATCTTGTGCATGATCCCCTTGAGCCCAGCCGGCCTGCAGACCTCAGCTCCTTGGGGGCTCCCGGTCCGTTCTGCCACCTACAGGCAAACAAAGCTCCCGGAAACATGATTTAATCACCCTGTTTTCCACAACAAGTGGAAACGAGGCTTGTTTTCAACTTGATGGAGACTGCTCTCTCGAAGCATTTCAGAGTGAAAATCACCATAGAGAACTGCAGCCGAAGCTGGGCAGGCTGTGGTATCTGCAGAATCGGAAGTGATTTTAGAGGAGCCGTTATTTCTGCTAGCAAATAGCAAAAGGAATCCAGATCGTTACTTTGTGAGGTCTGGAGGACGTGGACGACAGGCTTTGCCGCTTCAAATATCGCTGCCTCTGGCATTCCTTGGGAATGCTGCTCAGGGAAGGGTTCACTTGTGCTTTAGGGCCTGTGGCCATCCCTGAACAAGGCCAGGAATAGCTTTCTTTTTTAAGGTCAATAAAGCAGCAATAGGATGCAGCGATTGCTCGCTCTCAAGTGTCAAGTGTATAGAAATAGCTTTTAAAGAAATAGTTGTTGCTGATTAGGGAAAATCACTTAAGGAGCCCGAAGTGCTTGAATTTGCAGGCACGGGCACCACACGTTGTTGCAGGGAAAAGCGTAAAAGACCCTTTTTAAGTTAGCAATAAAAGTAAAGCCACAGTGTGGTGGTGCTGGAAATCACAGGGCTGCTTTTGCCTGTTCGTGATGCAAAATGCACCAGGGACATTATAAAAAGGCAGCCCGTGAACCCCAGGATCCACCAGGCTGTTATCTCAGGGTGCATGCACGGGGTGCTGCTGTCAGGGCTGCCGTCCGTGGTGCCAGCACAACGTGGTGCTCTCTGTCCGTCCAGGGTCCCTGGGCAGACTTTGGTCCTTTGATATTCCCTAAATCCGCAGCGTCCCACCTGCCAAACCTGGAAATGTAGCTCGTTTCTTTTCCTATAAAGTTATTAATTTCCACCTTYACATACAGCTTAGAGCAGTTGAAAGCATTATTCACTAATAATCACGGGCTTAATACCCAAATGCAGATTATAGGGCAAAACCCCTTCAGTTAAATAAATACCCGAATGAAATCTTGCCTCCAACCTCCCCTGAGTGTGCTGATAAATTTGGATTTGCTTCCTGGTCCCTTTCTGCCATGGGGCAAAATCCTGGCTCAGCTGAGGACGGGGAATGGTGGCCTGTCGGAAGGAGGTCACAGTTTTCACCCGGGGTCCTGACACCCCGATGCCTTCTGCGCACAGCAAAGCCATGTTTGCAAAAACAGGCCACGCTGTTTCCTTTTCACGTTCAAAGCCATGTACTGCAAAAATCTTTCCATTTTATTTATGCTCATTCTGTATTTTCCTACGAGGAAGCCCAGTGCTCCCTGTGTCAACTGTTTGGATTCTCTTTCAAACACAGTTTTGAAGGAAAGGAAGTAGAATCCCATTTTTAAAGGCCGTCCCCAGCGCGGATGTCAACTCTGGGTAAAACCAGTCCTTGACTTCAGGCTCACACCGAGGCCGATGGGTGTTTGCTCTGCAAATAAAAACGTTAGCGTTTCATCCCAAAGCCTGCTCCAGTTTTAAGGGCTTTTAATTGCCTCAAAGAATATAATAAACTAAGCTCGTCTTGTCACTCACCTAATGGAGGGAGGGATGCGGCGATGGGGCCGGTGGGCTTCCCCGGGCTGCTCTCCCTTTGTACTCGGTTTACTTTGGCCTGCTGCCTCCTATGTATTTTACACTTCTTTACATTTCGTACACCAGTGTATGACAAATACTTGTCAAACAGAAACTAAGCAGATTTATGGCCGCTTAACTTGAAATGAGCCTTTCCTGCCAAAACTTTATGACTTCATTTTCTTTCATAGTTTTCCACTCTGTTGGTTCAAACAGACGAACCCTGCCTGAGGTCAGTGCGAGGTCATTTCACTTTCATTACTAAAATATAATTTACAATATGCCAGACCTAAACAAGTTTTAGCCTAAAGGATTTGGGTAATGTAAACCATCTGTTCCTCAACAATATAGCTAATTTCCTGCCATCACCGTAGAGTCTACTGCCCGCTTGCTTAAGTGTCTTGATGATGATGATGATGACTATTTAAGCAGCATTTATCTGAAAATTGTAAGTGGTCAATACAATTAGAATTCATTTATTCCAAGATGCCGCTTTGTAATGATTTTTTTAAAGTCAGTTCTTATATTTCCCCTGCAAAGCTGTAATTACAATACTGCAGGAAGGCAAACGCTAAAGTTTATGCTGTTTTACTACATGTGAATTCAAAAGTCATTACCCTTTAATTGCTCCCTATGGCCATAGTGAGGACCCTAAATGAGTGGTTTGGGGTGGAGGTGTTAAGGCACGGGTGAAAGTTAATGTCTGAAATAACACAGCTTCTTTATGGCCCAAGAGTGAGTGAAGGCACCCAAAATGCCAACAGTTTGGAAAAACGGAGCCCTCTTCCTTTGCCCAAGAGCTCCTATTTTTTCCTGTGATTCTGTTCTGTGTGTTTGAGGACTGAATATTCAGTCAAGAGTGAACAGAAATAATCTATTGGACCCAGGAGGCTTAAAGGAAAAGCCAAGGAAGAAGTGGCCACAAGGACATTTTTCTATTATTGTTATTTTCCGTTAGGCCCTGGCCCAGGAACACTTGAGCATGTACTTAGCTTGAAGTATGTGAATTGCCTCAATTCCTGAAACCAGTGGGATTCGGTTTGAAGTGTGTAAGTGCTCGAGTGCAGCGCAGGCAGCTCCCGCACCCGCCGTCCRGCCTCGGCAGGACCCTCACCCCCATGGCACTGAGTCCGTGTGGGGCAGGGCGGGAGAAGGAGGAAAAGGGATTTTCTGCAGCCCGCCGGCTGCGTCGTGGGCCTGAGGAGGTGGATGCTGCCCAGCGGGGAGGAAGCTCCTCCCCTTTCATTTCACACCTCAGCATCTTCCCTTTGGAGAGCATTTAGTGCTGCAATAAGCTGCAGATTCTCAAGTTTCTGTGCAAAAAGGATCTCTTCCTTAAAAACACATTTTCAGGCGTTCCTGATGTCTTCTTGTTTCATTTCTCTAACAGAGCAAGGCGAAGGAGCTGCCTCTGTCTGCCGTTCGTTTCATGGAAGAACTGGGTGAGTGCACGTTTGGCAAAATCTACAAGGGCCACCTCTACCTTCCCGGCATGGATCACGCTCAGCTTGTGGCCATCAAGACGCTGAAGGACTTCAACAACCCGCAGCAGTGGGCCGAGTTCCAGCAGGAAGCATCGCTCATGGCCGAGCTCCACCACCCCAACATCGTTTGCCTCCTCGGCGTGGTGACCCAGGAGCAGCCTGTCTGCATGCTGTTTGAGTACATGAACCAAGGGGACCTCCACGAATTCCTCATCATGCGATCGCCGCATTCCGACGTGGGCTGTAGCAGCGATGAGGACGGGACYGTGAAATCCAGCCTGGACCACGGGGATTTCCTGCATATTGCAGTCCAGATTGCAGCCGGGATGGAGTACCTATCGAGTCATTTCTTTGTCCATAAAGATCTTGCTGCTCGTAACATTTTAATTGGGGAACAACTTCACGTGAAAATTTCAGACCTTGGACTCTCGAGAGAAATCTACTCCGCAGATTATTACAGAGTTCCGAACAAATCCCTCCTGCCAATTCGCTGGATGCCACCGGAGGCCATTATGTACGGCAAGTTCTCTTCTGACTCAGATATCTGGTCATTTGGAGTCGTTTTGTGGGAGATATTCAGCTTTGGCCTTCAACCGTATTACGGATTTAGTAATCAGGAAGTCATAGAGATGATCAGGAAAAGGCAGCTGCTGCCCTGCTCTGAGGACTGTCCCCCCCGCATGTACAGCCTGATGACGGAGTGCTGGCACGACCTGCCGTCGCGGAGGCCGCGCTTTAAGGAAATCCATGCCAGGCTGCGCTCCTGGGAGGGCCTTTCCAGCCACACGAGCTCCACGACGCCGTCCGGCGGCAACGCCACCACTCAAACGACGTCGCTCAGCGCCAGTCCGGTCAGCAACCTCAGCAACCCCAGGTACCCCAACTACATGTTTCCAGCACAGGGAATGCCACAGGGGCAAATCGCCGGCTTCATTGGGCCGCCCATGCCTCAAAATCAGCGCTACATCCCCATCAACGGCTACCCGATTCCGCCGGGATACGCTGCTTTCCCGGCTGCCCACTACCCCGCTCCAGGCCCGCCGCGGGTGATCCAGCACTGCCCCCCGCCAAAGAGCCGCTCGCCGAGCAGTGCCAGCGGGTCCACCAGCACGGGCCACGTCACCAGTCTGCCGTCGTCAGGATCCAACCAGGAAGCCAATATTCCCTTGCTATCCCATATGTCCATCCCCAGCCATCCGGCCGGGATTGGTATAACAGTTTTTGGAAACAAAACTCAAAAACCCTACAAAATTGACTCGAAGCAGCCGTCCCTATTGGGAGATGCCAGCATCCATGGACCTAACGAATCTATGATTTCAGCTGAATTGTAAATAAGTGAGGCCTTTGTAAATATAACTATTTACGATACAAACCAGAACGTCATAGAAAAGATTTATATTCAAATATTTTATTAAAGATCCTTCTGGTTGTTTAACAGACGTTGCAACAAGTATCTTCTGTGAAGTTTAACTGCTGAACAGGATGGGCAGACTCAACCAGAAACTCCTTGTGGTAGGAATGCGCAGCGCTGTGAACAGGCGCGCTCTTTCTTTCRGTAGCACCAACAATTCAAAAAGGGGGAAGGGGGATTTTTCTTCTAATAAAAACATTTTATCCTATGCTTTTTCACAGCTTTCTAGACCTCTGATGTGGTTTGAATCACRGAAGCTTTTTATACTGAAGACGTATTTTAATATTTGTCTCTTTTTTTAGGAGATGCAAATATTCAGAGATCTACTGGGTGTGCAATTTCAGTTCCAATAGCTAGTTAAGATGTCTGTAAATTTTGCAGTCACGGATTATGTTTCAAATATGTGATCTGAGAGCTGGATAAATTGCTTCAGGTAGGATTTTGGTCTTTCATTAAGTTGGGAATCTGAGTGCAGATTCAGACCAAAGAAGTCATTTTATATTACAGCATAATAGCTTGAGTTATCTTCTTGCATTCTGCAAAAATCATCTACTATTGTTTGCTAAAGGTAGCTGGAGTTGTAAAGAGATGCCTTAAAGGAAATGAAATTAAAATATTTTAATTTCAGAACCTGAATCAACTTAGTTAACATTTCATAATTTTTATGGGTAGCTAAAGCAGAAATTTTATATCCTTTTGTTGCTATGCAACTGTTTAATGGAAAGGCTCCAAACCACAATTTTATATATGACAATCAGCTTTCCCAGGAATATTTATTGTTGCAGATCAATATATAATTTCAGTGATTATGACTCCAGTAACCCTGAAAAAAAGGGAAACTCACATTCCATAAGGCAGCAAATTCATTGATAGCGATTTTGGCTATCAGCTCAAATAATGTGAATTAGTGTTAACTTTAGAAATGCGACATTTGTATTATTGCTAAAATTCATTCAGGTATAAGCAATCTAGATGATTCATTTGAAACCACTTTAATGATTTACAAAAGTACTGTGTACATGACAGTTTCTCAAAAACTTTTTTGTACTGAATAGTGTTTTTTACTGTACACAGAATGAAAACGGTCTTTGCTCAGTTGACAATGTTGTATAATATGACTTTATTTTTATCCTTTTGCACAAAAGTGTGATGATGTTTTGTACAGCAGAAGTGAAAATACATCTCTGCATTTTATATCTTGGTCTGTTTCTTTTTATTTTTAACCTGATGTAGATGTTCTTGAAATATATTATGGTGATATTCAGCCACTACCTTATCCAAATATTTTTCTTTGTTTTCACTGCATGCGTTTAATCACTGTATTACTTGATGATTGATTTATTAATTATGGGCATTTCAATTAGGCGAGCATGAAAATGTAATAACAAAGGCTATTTTATAATTAAGGTATGTGCATTTTTGTATTTCACGTGCCAGAGACGATATTAAACACTGATTATTTTATGCTGCTGTTTATTAAAACATTGTTTTAACATAAGTATAACAGTATTTCCTCCATCATGGTATGAGATATTTGAAAAGTATCATATTTAACCAAAAAAAAATAGTCTAACAACAAGAAAAAAGCTTGTCCTGCCGCTCAGGTAGGGAATATCTGCTGAAATACTCCTGATACACCTGAATGAGGCATGAGAGCTTTGGCAGTAATAGTTGAAGACAAGTAACGTCAGGGTAATGCACTGAGGCTTAATGAGTATTGGTTTGTGCAGGCGTTTCAGCAGCATCCAGGAGAAAAGAAACCTTTTTTTTTTTTTTTTCAACCAGATATTTATTAGCAGGTTTCTTTTAGCCTATACCATTATGGGCTTGAAATTTCATCAGTGCCGATTCAAAGTCAGGGAACCACTTTATACGTATCTGGTTTCAGAAAAAAAGAAACCATATGCAGTCAATGCAGTTTGTGGTCCTTACATTAGGCAGTTATTGGAAAATCTTCAGTAAATAACATGCTGTAAATAAAGTCAATGGAGAAATCTTTGCACCATGATTGAGACATAAATGGCAATGCAAAAATGTGGCTGAACAGGGTATCAAGCTACGAAGATCAATGATAGCAGGATATCTGCTGTTCACTTTCAAGCACCAGCCCTCACTGAATGAGTGTATGAAAAAGCTGAAAGTACCTTTTCACACAGCAAAATTACATGTTCATGGCAAAACACCTATCACGGGACATATGGATGGGCAGTCTCTGCAGGATGGCAGGGCCAGGGATAGTGGTGCCTGCGAGCCGCGTTGGAGCAGAACCTGTTGATGCCATAAGGCAGTTCAAGCAGTGAAGACAAGCGGGGGGCACCCGGGTACCCCCGGGCGGCAGCAGGGATGAACCCCGCACGCAGGGCCCTGCCGTCCCACGCAGGGACTCAGCTCCGGACACCGGTGCTTCAATCACCCGGCAGGAAAACAAGGGAAACCCCACGGAGCAGCAATGCTTGTGAGTCAGGGTCTGACACGGTTTGCGGGTTTATGCTCAAAAGGGAGCTGCAGTGCAAACACGCTCGGTTCTGTTTAGTTTTCCTTGGTTTTCAAGCCGGCTGCAAACTGAAGGTTAAAATAGACTCGCAATGTTGGGAGTAAGAGCAGCGCTGCCTTCCTCCCCTCCCAGCAAAGGAAGTTTGGGAGCTTGGAGGCTGAAATGGCGATCAGGGAACAAATGTTAAAGCAGAGAAGCAGGAATTCATGAGGGAGCAATTCAAAGGAGAAAAAAAGACTTCTAAGAACCAATTAGTGTGGAAAATAAATGTTGCCAAAAATTAAGAAATTACTCCTCAGGTGGGAACGCAGACATACAGATGAATGTTATTTTCATGACAAATAAAATACAAAGGAACTTTCACATTCCTAGCACTGGATACTAGAGTCATCGTATCGTCTTTCTTCAGAGACACAACAGCCAAGACTGTTGGAAATGCAATATCTGCTGGAGAAGCTCTAGAGGTTTGCAAGTAAAACTGAATAAACAGTGTTTAGCAAGTCTTCAACCTGGAGAATCTCATTCTCTCCAGGTTAGCTTACATTTGCACAAAAGAGAATAAATATTTGCTGATTTAAAGACCAAAATGCAGAGACCGAAACGGAGATCTGTATCCTTTGTTCCCACAAAGGAGTGCTTAGAGTGGGATTGTGCGTTCTCCGGATTGAAAGCAGAAGGTAAAGCAGAGAACTAACTACTCGTGCAGAAACTTGGGCTGGAAAACTCTGAAATACCAGTGTATGTTTATCCAGAACATGAGAAATGGTCTAAAAGGATTCCATTATTTGCTTTGCCTGAGTAACGATATCCAAGCAGTGTGCAGGCTTGGCAGGATGCTATCACGCGCTTGTTCCCATGCTGTTCTGTAACCTACATTCACCGGGAGAACTTTAAAACCTCCACCTAACTCAAAACACTCCTGACAGTCAGTCAGGTAATACAAAAACTGTCTCAAGTACAAACACATGCTGTTCGCCATGGACTCTGTTCTGTGGAATGAGCCCCTTCAATTCCTTTTGGCTACAGTTTCTGTATTTATCAAAAGGTATTTGGCTTTTTGACAGCATTCGTTCTTTCAGAGATGTCTTAAAGTTGTCTTTGCCTCCTCACAAAACCAAGTCATTTGACCAAAGGACACCCAGTTTCTTTTGTCTCATGTTGTTAGGCCGTGGTTGTTCAAGACGGACCAGGCAGAGCTCCGGATAGAGTGATGGGAGCGACATGGCCAGGAATGTCCCACAGACTCCTGCTAATGGGAAGGGGCTGAAGGGGTTAAGCTGCCCTCTTTCCTGCCAGCCCCTGTCATACCAGGTGCTGGGTGCAGGAAAGCACTAATGTAGCTGCCACGTCAATATCTCCCCTTCAACGTACAAACATACCATAACTGGTTATAAATCATGTGTTTTAATTAGGAAATCATGAAGAGGATAGAGCTGCAGATAGTGAAAAGAGGGCTGCCCACATACAACAAGGATGGTAATCCCACAGAAAAGCCAATCTTGTAAAGCAATCTTTTCATTGTTCCTTATGTCTTGGTATAAAACTGAGAGCCATGAGTGTCTTTAAATTTATGTTAGTAGTGTTTGAATCAGGCTTTTTTCTTTTAACTTTCTGGAGAGTTTAATGACATTGGTGAKACCCTGGTGCGTCAGTGTGTACCTATGAGAAACGTGTGCCTTGCAGCACAAGTTCTCTTGCAGCTCCGGTACATGTACAGGACTTGTTACAAAGCAGGTTCTCAGTCCTGCAATACGAGACATGGTCACACACTCGTTCCTGAGAGATTAAACTGGCTTGAGTTCCAAAGTGCTAAAGTAAGCAAAAACAAAAAATAAAAAAAAATAAAAAAAATAAAATAAAATAAAATAAAATAAAATACACAAAAAACTCATAGAAGGGCCTAAACCGAGAATGGCTGAGGACGCTGGCTCTCGAGTGGTCACACCAACCACCTCCTCATCCCACGCCTCTCCTTCCTCTCGGCTGCACCTCCCAGGGCTACGTTTCCCTGGCCCTTAGCTGACTCCTCGAGCCTGCAAACCTCCCCCTTCCACACCAGGATGTTCCTGGAATCCCAGAAACAATTTTTATCTGGCCGCGGGCTTTCTTTTACAGGGGAGGAGGGCACTGCCCTCCCCACGGCAGTCACTCTCTATCCCATCATATTTCTTCCTGTTTGATCTCCCCAAGATTAAAGTTCAGTATATTTCAGGACAGTTATATTGCTGAGGTAATATAAAATTATTAAAAACAGAGAGAGAGACAATATTGTGACTGCACATCAAAAGCTCTTTAAGACAAAGGAGGGAAAATTGACTCAAAACTGGAATTATTGGAAGCATCTGTGGTGCCTGTTGTTTTCTGTTTAACAGCGCAACACACTGTGGTGTCTCTTGCAAACCTGGTACTGCCTCCATTTGCTGATTTGTACCCTAAAAACCTGTTTTTCTGCTCTGGCAGAGGGGTACCGTGACCCTTGGGTGAAGGATTTGCCCTAAGGGACAACCAAGGGATCCTTTTCCAACCTGTAGGAAGGAAACATCGTGTTATTTCTTTGCTCACTGCCAGGAACTTAAAACAAAGCAGAAATATGTGTTAAGATTCACAAGAAGCACCTGCATTTGTCAAGGGCCGCAGGTACGTGGAGCACAGCGTGTGTTTATACAGGTGGGCACATGTATTTATACACACCCCCGTGTTTTCAGCCCTCATCCTCACAATTTAAAAAGACACAATAACATTTTGAAACAGTAACCTACGGGAACCAGGGTAACATTCATTTCCAGTCACCTTCGGTATAAACATTTAAGCCTGTTTATGTGGGTGGATCCAGAACTGCAAGGAGCTTTTACAGTGCAGTGCCTAGAGGAGCACTGCCAGGCCGTGTGGGGGAGCCAAATCACAAGCAGAATATCTCATTCTTGAGAGGAGGGGAAAAAATATAAATATATATGTACAGAGAGAGAGGGGATTTTTTTCCGAGAAAAAGTCCTCACAAACAGAGAGCGCCGCGGGGCGCGGTTACCCGCGAGCAGGTGGACAAAATGGCGGCCGCTGCGGTTGCTAAGCGACGCGCCGGCCAGGCCGGGCCTGACCGGGCCCCGGACCGGACCGGCCCAAGTCGGGCCGAACCGGACCGGACCGGACCGGGGAGGCCGGTGGATGTCGCYGCCATCGCCATGTGCTGCCGGGCCCGGCAGCTGCTGGCGCGGGAGTACCGGGAGTACCGAGCCGCCCGCCTCTTCGTGAGTAGCGGCCACCCGCGGGGCGCCCCGGCGGGGCGGCGCCCCTGACATGGCGGCGGCGCCTGGCCTCAAACAAGCCCTACTCCCCATCTCCCTCCTGGCTCTAAAATGCTGTAGCACTTCCAGCAAAAACTTGTTTCTCCTCATTTGGGACTGTTGTTAAGTTCAACACTGGTTTGTTCTGACTGTAAATGACTTCTAGGCACCAAAGATCCTGCAAAGCTCCAGAGAATTAATCCATAGGTTTTCTCCCCCTTCCATTTTCCCTTTCTCCCTTTTTTAAGGCAAATACATAAATAAAGTCTGAGATTTATGTCCTTTTTTTCACTGCAGGGCATTTTTACCAGGCCCCTACAGGACAGTGTGCTGGAATGGGTAGCTGAAGTCCAAGGCCTCAAGGATTCGCTCTGGGAAGGTCTGTTGGACACATAACAGCAATGCATTTGCAGTAGCATTTGCACCTTGTAGGTTTGTTTCTGTTGTTCCATCCTGTAGGTTTTGCTAAAAAAGTACTTAAAGCAGATCTAAGAGTGCAGWAGCGCTCGGTTGGCATATTCTTATTAGTTACCATTAAAAGCATGCTAGTTTTTGGTGCAAAGTCTTTAATATGCAGCTTGTGATGTCTGGCCTCCAAGCAGATGCTTTTGGTCTTTCCATTTAATGTGTCATTATTGATGCTGCAGTCCTCCTGGAGGACTGGGAAAGCTGTATAGAACTGACCGAGCACAGAAGTGAAGAAAACAAAGCTGCTCACATGTAAACTTGGTGCTCAATAAATGCAATGCAGGCTTTTAAAGCTAATGTTCTTCTGTTACAGGGGCTGTTCTTCAGCTGACACTGACATACAGTGAAAAGTACAACGATGTCCCTCCAACTGTTAGGTTCAACACTATTCCCTTCCATCCTAATGGTAAGGGCTTATGGGGAAATCACWGTGCATTTGTTGAGATGTTTTGGAAGTGTTTAGCTTGATATTTCAATTCCTTATACTAGCATTTCTTTGGTAAGCAGGAATGGATTCAGACTGCCCCAAGAAAGACAACCAAGTTCTTCAACTGTAGGGTTCGCACATGTGTCTAGATCTTTGCATGTTCAGGCCACCCCCTGAAATGGATCCATTTCATCTCTCCAACTGAAGGTCCATGCCCATGACCTGCCAACTCCATGTACTTTGGTTTAGCAGTAATTTTCCACAGCGCACAGCAAGGGATTGGAGCTCTCCAGATGATGGGGTGGAAAAGAGAAGAAGCTGAGACAGCCATCTCCCTCTCATGGCACCAGGATCAGTAAAAGAGATAACAACATTCTCCTCCCAYTTGCCGATAGCAGATATTCCTAAAGCTGAATGTCATAAATCTGATGCCATAAACCTCAGAGAGGTTATTACTTTTGCATATGGCATTTTTTTCAGCAGAAGTTCCCAGGGAAGTTGTGCATGAAAAGCCTCTCTAAAAGCACACTCTTTCATATTATTTAGGTTGCAAATGCACTCATTTAGAATCACGGTTTGTCCACACTGAGTCACTCTTTCACCTTACTGCGGCATAGACATTACCCAGATATCTAGAGCATTTGCCACTTCTCCACACTCTTTAAGACTAAACATGCAATGTGCTGAGCAGAAATCTCCTCTTTCCTGGCAGGACTAATCATGGCTGCCTGGGACTGGGCAGCAGCTCAAACAAGTGCAGTTTGCTGTAATTCCTCCTGTGTCACACCATGTTTCCTTTGGCCTTCTCCTGCAGAAGCAGTACAGTAGGACAACTACTGAGCTGTGTGAGCAAAATTTACTGTCAACTGGGAACTGTCATTTACTGCCAACGTGGTTTTCTGTGTGTATAGGCAGCTACTTTGCCAGATGGCTGTGGATGTCTTGAAAAATAGCTGTGCTGGTGCCCTAAGGATGTTGCTAGAGGAAAAGAACGGCACTGAACGGTTAGGTTTTTAACATGACTGCACATGGTGGAGCTGACTGCTGGAAGAAGGGGGATACAGAGCCATAACGACCCTATGGAAGATCATATTCTTGGAGGCCTTCAAGGGGATGTAGGTATCTGTGTATTAGCATTTCCAAAGAGGTCATATCCAGGCAAACCTAACTTTGGAGTGTTAAAAAAGGCACCAACTAGAGATTGTCTGGACACCAGACTGCAAAAGCAGGGAACAGCACCAGAGATGGAGTGCTGTCTTTTCCAAAATAGATTTGCATATGATCCTGAAAGAGCCTGAAAGGCTTTTTCTTTGTTTTTTCCAAAGGTAGTTGGAATCAAATTTTTCAGATGCAGGATTAAAAAAAAAATCACTTTTGTTTGTGAGCACAAGTTAGTTATGCTGAGAAGTCTCAAATCCTAAGGAAGTTAACATTCCTAAATAGCCAAACCGTGAAGATTGCACAAGAAGCCGTAAATCTGGAGTTTCCTAATTTTTGAGTGCTCGACATTGCAGTATAAATAATGCTCCTTTCAAACATTGCTTTTTAGGCAATTTCTTTTAAAATACTTTGCAATATAATTTATGTATTTATTTTCTTATCTGGTAGTTAGACTCAATCCTGAAAATATGCAGACTGTACGGAGCATTGAGTCTTAGCACAGCTACAACTTTGTAACTGCAGCAAAGCTGCTGCTGCTGTGTATGGTGCAAATGCTGGGCTGTTCCACGTGCGAAAAGGAATTGTGCATTTTCTCCCTTATTCTGCTGTTGCAGCAGCTGGCAGAGGTACAGGGAGTGCCTGCTCTGTGTGYTGTGTTCCATGTTGCTGGTTCCAAAGCAGTTGTTTTTATTCACTGCTGGCTTCTTCACTTGTGCTTGTTCAGCTCCTCAAAATAATGCCATCCAAAGGCATTTGCAGAAGGTGGCAAGCGTGAGCTAAGGGTAGTGCTCCTAGTCTGATCCTCTAGTGGTTCAAAACATTTAGCTGTAATAATCACAGATTCTCTAGGCAGGCAGCCCTTCTTGCTGGGCCCTGGCCAATTTAACCCAAAGCAGTCAGGACTGAACAGCTCTTTGCTGGGGGGAGAGGAGGACAGTTTGCCAGCTTGGTCTTGTCTGACCTCCTGATAAGGCAGTTTTGCTCAGTAACCTGGCAAAAAAACAAGCAAGAAGGAAAGTGTGTATGAAGAGAAGATATTTTTCAGACAATTCAGCCAGTATAAGGTGGGGTGATGGAACGAGATGACCATGAATAGTGAGGGAGGGAAGCAAGGGAGGGAAGCAAGGCTCAGCTCACTCGTGCAGCTCTGCTCTCCTGCAGCGGGTCAGCTTGCTATGGCAGTGACCATTGAGATACACGGCTAAGATCCTCAAGGAGGGCTGTCTTGGTTCTTAAAAAATGGCAAAGAACAGGGGAGATGAAGGGAGATAAACACGATGAATCAGCTCACTGGTGTTGCCTTGTATCCATCTGGGTTTAGCAGGTAGGACCTGCTGCAGACACTTGGTTCATTTGTTCAGTGCAGCTGCAATTAAAACTTACAGGGCTGAAATAAGCAGAGTGGTTGGAGTCTTTGTGCTGTTGCTGTGACTTGGCTTTTACATGTCTAAAAGTCCTGAACAACCATAGAAACTTTAAGTCTCTGCCAGGACATTTTTTTTTCTGGGATGAAAATGAAACATATATAGGAAAATCAGGATTGTAGCCATGCAGCTGGTTCTGTAGACACGAAGTCTAAGCCTATAGGTACTTTTTGAGGGATTTAGAAATATAAGATATGCAAATTACACAATAAAGTACAAATTCCCTTAGTACAGAATAACAGAATTGTTTCATCTAGAAATTACTCAACATCTGAATGTTTTCCGTTCTTGCAGTGGATCAGTACTCTGGGAGGCCATGTATAGACTTCCTTGACAATCCTGAGGAGTGGAAAGAAAAGTTAACAATAAGCAACATTTTACTTGCTATTCAGGTAAGGAAAAAGATAATGTTTTACATGGCTTTTCTATAAATATATATAGACTTTTTGTTGATAGCTGTGAATTTAAAAATGCAAATTCCTGGCTGAGCCCAGAGCTTAAACAAACATAATTTGTGAGACAAGTTTTATAAACAGGAGTTATTTCTTTTCACTTCTGCATTTGTTTATCAGTGGTTCATGGGAATCCCCTTAACTCTAATCAAGACAGGTGATGAAGTGAATGACAATTATTGGAGTTGTTACCAGTTTTTGAGATAGCTTGTTCCTTTAATGCTCCTTTATCTTGTTTAAGTTACTGCTCAAGGTATATGCACTCACCCAGTTCCCTGCACTTCATAAAAATGTTTTAAAGATACTGATAACTTTACTTCTAAATTTCATGTTTCAAATTTACTCCCTCCCTTTATTCTTTTTTCTTTTTTTTTTTTTTTATTTTACTACTTTGTTTTATTAAGACAAAAATAAATGCAGCTTTTCT